ATATATATATTACAAGAAGGTTCGAACGGAGACCAGAAAGAAATAGAAAGGCCAGTGTCTCCGAAGATATAATAGTATCATTAAAATGGTCCGTTTGCGAGTCGATCGTGATCCTGGGTGATCATCAAAATGAAGTTAACAGGCACGGTTTGTCAGAATTGTCGAAAAGGCAGAATGTCGAGCAGAAGCCTCGTTGCCATTCCTATCTATGCACAAATCCCACTTCATTTCCGGTCTCAACAGACAGTGTAGGGAAAAAATGCAGAAGGCTGTTGATTCGCTTAAGTTAAGACAAGCATCCCTGTATCGTTTTCTCTAGCTTGAAGTTTTTACGAAATAAGCCATTCCTTGACCAAAGGAACGATCACTTTCTGGCTATAAACATCGAACGTGCAACCACTCACAAAAAATGCCATAGTAACGGCGAAATGGTGTTTTTTAAGGAAGTCACTGGTAACGGTAAGACGCTTCTGGTTTCGTCGGTGCCGGCGTGAAAAGTGGCGAAGACGTGCGCTTAGAAAGTATACTGTTTGATGTAATGAAGCTCTGATCCGAATCCGCTCACTGAAACAGCTGGTGGTCCTCATAGCAGGACGATACTCCAGCCTAACAGAGCCTGGCTCGCCTAGGAGAGACGCCGACGCGAGCTCCCCGAGTTCAAGAGAAAGAGGAATGGTCGTCCTGCTTTCCAGATCTTACCTCACTTGACTCCATCGCATGGTCCCTGATTGAAAGAGGACCTGTCGGGTTTGCAGTCTCAGTTTGGAGCCCCAGTGAGCAAGTCCCAAAAACGGCTGGGAAGAAATGAAGACTTCCCACGTGCAGCATGCGAAGAGCTCGAGAGCAACTTTGAACTATTCACCTCATAAGGGATAATTTGAAATGTGACTGTAGCACAATGACAATGTCGCAAACGTGCACATAGATTCCATAGTCACTCTAAGCTGAGAAGCTTTAAATACATTGCCATGAATTGGTGCTCATAATTTGGAACACCCTGTGTTCCCCCTCCTTCTCCGGGTCAATTCTACTAATATTCCTCATCAGCAACGAACTTTCGACGCTGATTGCGTGAAGTAACGATACCAGTTGTTCCAAACAATTCGTCATGAAGCAGTCACCAAAAAGGAAAAAAAGATAGCCAAGATGGATGACACTGGTGAGGAATGTACATTGGACAGTGATCTCAAAGTCGTAGCCCAATCAATCAAATACTGAACCTCTGAGCAATAATCTTTCAAGCAGTTCTGAACTTCCCCAGTGCATCCTTTTCTATGGCTGAAAGATGTAGTACAGAGTCCTTCGGCATAAATCAATCCCGTTTTGAGATGCGCCCGCGTTCAACTTCCACCCAGAATCTCAGCCGCGTCCGAAGGCGGACGTTTTTCTACGATGAGTTGTGCAAGTCAAGGCTGTCTTCCTAAAGGAGTCTCGTTACATCAACCGAGTCCGGTGGGTTTGGAATTTGTTTGGCTTGGCGCGGGTAGGAATTGCGATTCGATCTCTGGACAATGCGCGTGATAGTGCCCTACTCGGCATCACACAACCTCCGTGCGTCTATTCCCATGGTTATCCGCTACCACTTACTTTCCACGGTACCCAGCGATGATAAACTAAACAGTTAGCTAAATCTTTTTGAAATGATCTCAAAAAATGGGTGATAGACGTTTTTTTCCGCTCCTGGGCTCCCTTACACACAGCCTAGGTCTGCCTCTGTTCGGTCGGCAACATCTGTGGGCTCTGAAAAACGAAACCTGTTTGTGGGTTTTACCCGCCACGGTTCTGCCATCAACTGCTCCATACATCATAAGTGTCAGTCGTTACTGCACATGCAACAATGGCTGAAGATGTTACCCAAAGACGTCTATCACGGACCATCGCCATTTAATTGCAGCATGTAAACGACTTTACATTAACATTCCGAGGGCCTATTGCTATTCATAGGTCGTCGAGAACATTGTACAATAACACGAAGCAGAGGAATTCAGTGGGCATTTTTCGAACTGAAGACGTAAAAGTTCAAGAATGGGTAGTATCATGAGCATAGTCCAAGAATCAAAATTTGGATCAATACTTATCCAGACGCTTTCGGACCCGATAGTGCGCTTTTGAAGTGTCTGTGGGAATAAAACACCTACATGACTAGATTACCTTTCCCAAGTCATGGTACACGCCAAACAGCCATTCAAATGCCACTACCGTTTCGGATAGGAGTCGAAGACGTGGCCCATACTCGAACCAGACTTGTCAACCAACGCATAATACACAGTTTTTTCCCTTTCTACCATTAACGGATTAAATGATAAGCCCGTCTGAATCCATTGCAAATCACTCCTCAAAAAATTTGAAGAAATTATGCCAGATGGCTATCCCCCAAAGCAGTCAAATTCTCCATTCCTTTGGGGTCCCGCAGGATAAAAGCACTGACTTGTACCTCGGCTGGCAAGAGCAGGTCACTACACTCTCTGTTGATCTCGCTAATGAATATTTTTCCAATACTTAAATATTTCGAAAATTCGTCATATAAACCCGAAGCGGGTTCCTTTTCGTCGCAAAATTTCCTTTCCAACCTATTAAAGTATTCGCTTGGCACACATAGACGTGTGCGCAACTTGAACGGCAGCCCATCCCTCACAAAGGTTGATAAAAAGGAGGAAGAGAACTTACAAGGCCCCAATCAAAAAAATCGATGCCCAGAAAATATTGTTTTTCTTCACCATTATTCGAAGAATTCATCAATGTAGGCTAAATGTTTAGAATGCATCTTTTCAGAGTAATGCCGAGCATTCAAAAAGCTTCAAAAGTGTTTTCTCATGCATTTGTGATGTTATGCTCGAGATGCAAAAAAATGACATGCAATTGAGATGCCTAACAGTGCTTCAGAGCGCTGAAACACAAATAAACATCTCCAGACAATGATTGAGCATAAAAGAGGAGCCTTAACGACTCTCGGTAAGGTCACGTCATCAAAGATAGACCGTAAGCAGCTCCTCTAGCTGGCTGTCGCTTGGAGCGTGACATAAAAATGAAATGATAAGGTTTTTGAGCCTCAATCAATCCTGTACGAGGAATGCGCCGTCGCATTCGACCCCCATTCGGAGCCGTAGTGGCTTTTTGAATGCATATCTGATCTATTCCATAACTGCGGTGGCCGACCGATGTTCGAGCCAGCGCTTTTCTCTTTCCAGACAAGTCTGGCAAAAACTAAACTACCCCGTAGGGGTGGAAGGCTTGAGTGGCCTAGGCGGATATCGATCCAGGATACGATCCCGTGACCATGCATGTGTAACTCGATACAACACCACCTACTCCCAAAGCACGACATATTCATACTAATATTCATATTGATGAATATCTGTCCACCTAAACTTTGCCTACCCACATCTTGCTCTTCCGTGAGGAATTTCTGCAGATCAGCTACCGTAACACTTTCCACTCCACCACTGCTGACCATCCGCAGAACGTGATGCAGTTCGGGACGATCAGTCAGGCATTCAAAAAACTTGGCAAACTCGTTCTCGTCCAAAACCCCGTCACGGGTCGACTTCCCTTCAGCTTCCTGCAAAAATATTGCCCATTACAGACAATTTGTATAAGCTAATATTCTCAAAGACACGGTTCACGATAACAATAGTTTCTGAGATTTTCAGCCAAAATAAATTATGACTCCCATAATATTAAATGGGCCGTTGTCGGGTCGAAAAATGACCTGGACTCGGCGTAAAAAGGGATCTAAAATAGGTTCCGCCAACGCAGGCACTCAAAGTGGCCGTCTTATGTCGACCTTTTGTCACTGCACTATTCCCAGGACGAGGCGGATACTACGCTAAAATGAGAGGCAGCCATACCAACCCCCTTTCTTGCTGCTTTTGAAGTCCTATATTTTTTGGAATCAACCATTTTAGCACTCTTTCGCCACCCTTGCACTATTTTTCACCAAGGCTTCCATTATTTCATCTGAAAAAGAAACCTCAAAATTATCGTGAACTGAGCCATTAAAAACTAAACTCATTTATTTCGCTAATATCCATTAATATTCATTTTAGCCGTACTCACCCTGAACATCGCTCTGGCGTACTTTTCACAAATTTCCAAATTCATTTTTTGAAGTAAAGCCCAGACTTCGCTAAAGGAGAGTGTACCTGGAATTAGCGGGATTTAGCTGGAAGATCAATTCCACTCCAAAAGTTCAGGCAGATGAAGGGGGTACCATTCTTGTTAGTATCGGCTTCACGGAACTTTTGAAGAATCCATGCTTGCTCGTTATATTGAGCTCTTTGCTCTCTGACTTTAGAGATGACATACGTTAGAGCAGATACCCATCGGTCACGATCCTATAGCGAAAAATCCAACAATGACGAAAACGGCTAGAGCAGAAACTTCGGTTAAACACTTTTCCCACACCTGCTTATTGTTGGCTGCAAAGTCCACTGATTTGTGCAGAAACTTGGCATGACTGAATATGACAGAGAAACAAGTGGCTTCCTAAACAGCCAAAATGCATAAAAAAAGACCGTAATAAAAATTAGCATGGATCAGAAATTCCTAGAAAAATACAAAATCGATACCGGTGCGGCTTCTTGGAATTCGTACTTTTTTGCAGCTTTATGTAGATTGTCAGTACTGTACCCAGATCGTACTTCAAGTATATCCGACACAGGAACTGAAAAAGCCGATTTTTAGAGAAACAAGTTGTTAAATCGAATAATACCAAAGACGCTATCAAATCCGTATTGATGACAAGAAATTTCCTAAAAATTCCTGCATTGAGAGCAACTTTCCCTAGAAGACCGTGTCTATTCGAAGCGGGCTCCAGTATAATAAAAGTATTCGTACATATTCATTATCGAACATACATACACAGAGGGTAGAAGCAGAAAAGTCTTCAGAAGGATAAAAAGATAAAGTATTTGGGCTTTGATAAACCTCGTCCGAGGGATGCCTCCTCTCCGCATTCGACTTCCATTCAAAAACGTAGTGCCAGATTCAATGCGTATGTGGCCTGCGGGATGACATACGGCAGCGCCGATGTACAAGTCAACGCTTTTATCCTTCCAGACCAGTATTATACCAATAAACCGATCCGGAGGAATGGAAGGCTGGTTGCCCTGTGCGGATATCAATCCGGAATTCGAATCCATAACCATGCGTGCGTGATAGTGCGCCACTTCCACTACACCGCCTCCTCCATAAAAATCACATTGATCAAATCTGATGTTACAGGGGTTCACGGAGAATCTGTCTGGAACTGGGATTTGGTTCCCTTCCGTAGGTGTTCCACCTACATCTACTAAATTACTTCACTCTTCACGCTGCACTGAAACCAAGTTGCCGAAGTGGTGCGACCCGTAGGCACACTCCACCTATAGGAGATGGAGTCTTCAAATTTTGGGAACATCTAAGGGTGCCGTTGGCCCTTTGAAGAGGATCTTCACTCTTCTTAAGCATGTGCAGATATTTTTGAGCGAAGTCATCTCTCGTATATTTTTTGTCAATTTATCAAAAGATTCAGACAATGCTGCTGCCTCCACTATATAATAATCTAGCCTTTTTAGCCTCTTCCACTTCTCGAGACCGCTTTGATGCTGAGCTATGAGTTTGTGTCATAGCATTGTTCTTTGTACATCGACCACTGCTCCATCCCCTTTCCGGAGCCATGGGGTATGGGGGTTGGGCAAATCGGAAAGGGGTTTGATCAATATCAAATGCTTTTCGGATGCTTATTTTGGTAATGCAAAATATACGTTGTTTGAAGCAGATGCGCCTACCCTACAGAGGGACCCTTGGCCCAGGTCATAAATATTGTTGTAATCTTAAGATAATCGTAAATATCCTCATGTAATGGCTCTGCCTCGAGCGTGTTAGACCATCAAGTAGAAAAGGTGAAAAAGCAAGCAGGTACGCCATGTTCTTTTACTCTTACAGCGTGGAAGAACAAAACTTTACGGTGTGGCCTCGAACGGCATATTTTAGGACGTTTACGACCACTAATTATATTTGAAAAATGATCGAATAAGCAGAAAGGCACGCAACAGCTGATCACTTGCAGTCATCCGAACCGCAAATTCATCCAAGCAACTATCCAGTCCGTCCCGCTAAAGTCACAGCTATGTGTGTGGGTAGGGTAGACGACAGTATGAGCTCGAACAGAGACTATTCCAGTCGAGGTCAGCTTAAAGTGATTTATGTCAAACCAGTTTTGCTTCTTATGAGTTCAATGTACAATCACTTATACAGTGGGTTGAAAAGTATGAACTGGTTTCGCTTATCAGAGTGCAACTACATTCGCAGAAGAGTGACTTTTCGATTGTCCTGACATAAAATGCGCAGCTTTTACAGCCCATAACCCACCTAAAGCCCTTACAATAACCTTGATATCGACAAAAGAGTGGAAATGACCCCTCGCTCTCTACTCTTTAACCTTGAAAAAAAGATGCTTAAAAAATGTGAACAATAAAAATATTATTACATAGTACTCAAGCTGCTGTGAACAACAAAGTTGCTTATGGGCTGCCCATGCTTCTTATTCAAACTCGTGTGTTCCTCACCTATTTATTGAATTTTTTTGCGTTGGCTAGAAAATACGATTATTCGTTGTCACCCATGAAGGCCCGGAGGTCATCCACACCACAGAACAGAACTACTTCGAATAATGAAATATTGAACGAAGCAGATGAATGCTCAGTGAAGAACGAACTCTCTTCCAAGAAGTGATTCATGACACAGAGCATACTAACTCTATCACCAACCAATACGGGGCCAAGGTGGGTAGCGTGTTAGTAACCATGTGGTGCAGCATCCCACGCATAGTCCAGGGATCGCATATCGGAGCGATACTCGTTTCGACCAAACTGCATCCCCTCCCCCTCGGCTCACCTTATTGCTACCAGACTTGTCCGGGAGGATCGAAGCACAGACTCGGACACCGGCTGGCCACCGTAAGTCACTGTATAGTTGAAATACGCATCCGACGCCAGTACAATTCTGAGGCAAGCTGAATGCCGGGGCGCATCCCAGAAATTGACTGAATAACGCTAAAAGACTTTATTTATCATCCTTTTCCAGCAACAAAAAGATCTGATGAGAGAGGTAGCCCCCAAACCCATTGCACACGTATTCGCCAGGAAGGTTACGAGCTTAAATACAGTTTATTAGTGCGGACCCGGTGGATCGCAGGATCGTGTTAAAAGCAGTCAAAGCAAAAATAATCAACCAGTTCATACGCCTGCTTTTTCTATCCTTTGTTTCGAATTTCATCCTTCCTTTACTGAGTACTTTTCATAGCCTTCCAAAATGGGAATGTCTAAACAACTACCGCCTAGGTCCGCATGGCGAAAGTTTTTTTATACACGAAGTGAACTCCACTCCTCCTCTATAACTAAAGTAAACGTTATTTATATCGCTTCTGATGGGCATCAAGGATAAAACGAATATAATGATGATACGGTTGGAATTACGATGACATTTATCATATCAGTGGTCCAAGTAGTGTTTCTGTATAGTAATAAAAGGTCGACATAACCACATTACACCAGAGTGACACCATAGAACCGGTTCGCACGTCACCCACATACGTTGGGTCGTTCATACAATTGCCCAATGGCAGCGTATGACCGCAGAATCGGCAAAGGTGATTTGGTTCCTATCGACTGAGAAAATCAAAGAATCCACTTTCTGACTCCTCGCTTCTGATCATCGCTAACGAAAGATTATCAGGAAAGTAGAGTTCTCACCATCCCGTGCCCTCTACTCTTTCCATTTCCATGAGCCTTCCCGTAATCGTTGCCATATTCTTATGATTTTTCCGACTCTCAGTGTAGGTAAATAATGCTGCCCAAGTGGTTATAGATATAAATACAGTCTAAAAGCTTTTGGGCATAAAGCAATTCCGTTTCCTGAATGGGCCTCAACTCTCGAATACCATTCAGGATATGGTGGCTTTTGATTGCTTAGGGGACCTGAATAATGACTTGCGGAGCACAACCCATAAGAGGAGTTCTTGATCTAGTATCAGTTGGCGGACCCCAAAAAGGTTTGGTTGGAATGGATAGGTATCGAGTTGGGATATGATCCCAAAACCATGCGTGAGAGTGTACGCTACATGCCATCACATTATCGCCCGC